CAGCACTTGATGAGCGGGTGAATGAAGGAGTGAATGAAAGGGCAGGCTGACTCCAACCCAGACGGGAGAGGTGAGAAGGATCAGGGTCCCCGTGCCCAAAGTCTCCTGCCCCTACCTTGGTAGGGCCTCAGCACCTCTTCTGCTCAGGAAAGGGAGCATATGGGGCCAGTGTTCATGGAGGAGCATCTATAAGCAGGGCCCTTTTCTCTAAACAACTTCATGAAGCAGCTACAAGGAAGCAGAGAGCTTCACCTCTCTGAGCCCAGTCTCTTTGTCCGTTTAATGGGGATAATCCTAGGTCCCAACTTCTAGGACTGCTGTGTGGATGGATAAGACTGTATCTCAAAACTGTGAGCAGCTGCTGCTGCTGCTAAAACAAATCTTATCTCTTACAGAGGAAGAAGCTGGAGAGATTGTGGGAGTTGCCTGGAGTCCCAGAGTCAGAAAGCAGGGAAGCTAGACCCAAATCCAGGCTCGCCTGACTCAGGAGCCAGTGCTTTTTTTTTCTCTGTGCTGAACCCACTCCAGCCGGGAGTGGGAGGTGGGATACAGGAAGCCTTTCTCCGTTTGCACCTCAGTGGTGTTCATTTATGTTCCTGAGCACAGACTGACTTTGCCTCACCTTTCCTCCAGGTTTGGTACAGAGACACTAGGAACCTGGGAGGGCTGGCCAGGGAGGACGGTGCTGCCCTCACCCCACTCATCCCCGAGGCAAGGGACCTGGGAAGGAGGCAGCTGCCCAAGCCTGGGACAGGTAAACTGGGGCATGCTGAGAGCCAGTCTGTGAGGAGCCTCCTTTGGGTCGTTTGAGATGGGGGCACTGGCAGGCTGGGGTCTCCGGGAGGTCTCAACAGGAAGAGTTTGGTTTGCATAGCAGAGGAGGAAGAATTGCCCTCCAGCCAGCACCTTCCCCGCCCTAGCCAAAAGCACAGAGCCAGCAGAAGAGAGCAGAACTCAGAAGGCCGTGGGGCTCTAAGGACGCATGGAGGGCCCACTCAGTCCCACTCAGGCCAGCTTGTGTGGTTGGAAGGCCTGGAGGCTTACAGGTAAGGCTGCCCTAGCAGAGACCCTGCCCAGCGCCTGGCTGATGAGGGATGGTGCTGCAGGCAACCAAGGTAGCTTCCCCTTGCAGCCAGTGCACATTAAGAATTATTCCTCTTCCCACCTGTGAGTGAGAACATGAACAATGAGAACACTTGGACACAGGATGGGGAACATCACACACGGGGCCTGTCATTCGGTGGGGGAAGGCGGGAGGGATAGCATTAGGAGATATACCTAATGTAAATGACGAGTTAATGGGTGCAGCACACCAACATGGCACATGTATACATATGTAACAAACCTGCAGGTTGTGCACATGTACCCTAGAACTTAAAGTATAATAAAGAAAAAAGAATTATTCCTCTTGTGAGCAAACAATTTGTTACAATATCTACTGTGCACTTTTCCCGGCTGGGCGCCCTCCCATACATCCCGAATTAATCCCTGAAGTCACTCAATTCATTTAGGACATGCCTGAGTGTGCCTCTCCTTTTATTAGGGAAATTTCTCATTGTTTTGAGGAGCTCATAGGTTTTAATTTGAGGCCAAAATTTTTAAAGCCTCTCTCAGTGGCTCCGAGGCGTGAGTAGTCTTACATCTGGGAAGACCCCCTAGGTTCCTAGACCTCGTAGGGCTTGGCTGGGGCCACCAGACCCCAGAGAGAAGGGATCATGGCGCATGCCCCCCAGGGAGCCAGGGACTGCAGACCCCAAGGCTGTGTGGCATTGGGTCACACCCTCGACCTCTCTGAGCCTCCCTAAGAAAGGCAAAGCCAAGGAAGACTTCGTACTGCGATATAGTTCTTTCAAGCCTGCCCAGGGAAGTCTGGGGTCATCACCTATAAAAACCACAGCCCTGGGGAGTAGCATGGGGCCACTGAAAAAGCATGATGTGTGGAGTTCCGATTTGAAACACGGCCAGGGCAGCCCAGTCATTCGCCTCTCCCAGTTTCCAGCTCCTTAAAATGAGTCTAAGAGCCGGCGCCCTCTCCAGGCTGTTGTGCAAATTACACAAACCCAAGCTGGGAGTGAGTCTGACTTAGGGCCTGGCACAAAGTGGGTGCTCCACAAGGGTGAGCCTCCCCGGCCCTCTCAGCCCAATGCGGAACCCTCCCACATCTCCTTCTCTTGGACTTCAAGCAACCAGAGCCCCTGGCTCACACATTTTGGCTAAAGGTGGCCCACAGGCTGATCTCCACAGGTGGGGTCCTGCCAGTTTGGGCAGCAGCCACCAGCCTCTTCCCAGGCCTTACACAGTCCCTCGCACTTCCCAACTGAGGCCCTGGTGTGTGGGGAGGCCTGTCCATAGATCCTATGCTAAATCCCGCCCCTCCCTGCAGCCCCCAGGTAGGGCTGTGTGCCAGGATCCCGGCTATTTGATGTCTCCCTGCCCTTAGTCAGCAGACAGTGATCCCACCCCCAACTACTGGTCCTCCACCCCCACCAAGGCTCCAGGGCTGGGACCTCTCAGAGCTCTGACCCCCAGTCAGCAGCAGCTCTCGGACAGCTCATACCCTGTCCCAGGCTTACTCCTCCTGCCTGTTCTTTGTTCACACTATTCCCAAACACACGTGCTCTCTGTCACTCTCTCCCACCCCCACCTTCCCCAAATCCTCACGAGCTCTAAGGACCAGACACCTGCAGGAAGCCCTCCCTGACTTCCCCAGCTTTTATCTCCTTCCCTTTCCTGAGGCTCACAGCATTTCTCCTTGATCTGTCTAACTTCACATTGCTACCCAGAGGCAAGGACCAAGTCACCTACTCATGATGTGGTGGCCAACCCCAGGCAAATTCCACTGTGTACTTAGGGAGAACAGACTCATTCAATGATGCGGGGGAAGGTCACAGAGGACTCTTGCTGAGACAGTACAACACCTCCTTGAGGTAGCTATCATTATGTCCATTGTGCATATGGGAAACTGAGACTGGAAAAATGAATCACTTGCAAGAAGCAAGCAGGGCTGGGACAGGAACCAGCACCACCTAACAGTGCCATTAAGACACAGCCCACAAATTCAGGTTCCACAGGCAAGACCCACCAGGCCTGGGCCCAGCAGGTTCACCTGTGCAATCCCATCTGATCCTCACCACCCTTCAGGGAGGTTACTGTGCCACTCGGGAGGAAAAAGAGGTCCAGAGAGGCTGAGTCACTTGCTCGAGGACACCCAGTAAGTGGCAGGGCTGGGACTTGAATCCAAATTCTTTCATCTCCCACTTGGTCAAGGCAACCAATCAGGACACCTCACCTCATCCTGCCCACCACTCCTAGAGTCTGCAGGACCCATTAAAAATCACATTATCGAAGAGTATTGAATGATAGGAAAACGATCTTGGTATGGGATTAAGTACAAAAGGCAAGTTAGAAAACAGTAAGTACAGCTTGATCCCAATTATGTCATAAATACATGTTTTGTAGAAGACTGACGGGCTAAACACCCAAGCGCTCACACTTTTCTATAAAGAACACACATTACTTTTTTTATAACCAGAAAAATAAAATGTTTGAAAAGCACCTTACAGAGTTCAAGGCTTAGCCCAGGTGTGACTTGTTCCAAGCCCTGCCAGATCCCCAGCTGACTGTGGCCCTCCTGCCCTGTGTCAGCTCCCGCCTGCATCTCCCTGCCTCCTGAGCTCCCCATGCCCCCGGGCTGTGGTGCCTGTGGGTGCTGCTGTCTGCCTGGGCAGTGGGGAGGCTGCTCACGCCCCTGCCCCCTGCCCCCATCACCCCGGTTGCTGCACAGACAACCCTGACCCCATCCTCTCACCCATCTCCCAGCAGCAATTACAGGTTAAACTGGAGGGGCTAATCAGTTGCTCATTCTACCCAGAGCCAACTAATTACCAGAAATATTTTGATGGTGCTAACTGGGCTTCGGAGCAAGGCCTCGTGTCTGGGAAGGAAATCCAGGCCTCTGCTTCCGCCAGCTTCAGTGTGAGGACAGGGCTGGCTGAGCCTCAGCCAAACACAGCTGTCACCCGATCCCTCAGGAGAAGGGAGTCCAGGCCTGCTGCCTGAAGAGCCGCCAGGCTTCTTCCTCTGAAAAATGAGGACAATCCGCCAGGCCAGCCTGCTGCCCATAGCCCACCCCACCATTCCCTCTGTTTAGCAAAGTCTTTCTGCAGCCCTCTCATGGGTGACAGAGGCCTGTCAAGAACAGGGGATTGGCCAAGATATGGGGTAGAGGTGACTTGTCCAAGGTCACAAGCAAGCCAGGGGTCAAAACCAGGCAGCAACCCAGGTCCCCCTCCTTCCCCAACTCCCACTTCTCTGGGACACGCTGTTGTTTCTCCACATCCCCTCACATGAACCACAAAGTGAGAGGACTTGTCACCTCCCACATTCTGGGGATCCTGCTCCTCATGATACAGTCTAAGAACCTATCTGCTGTTCACAGAGAGCCAAGGTCACCTGGCTGCCAGTGCTTGTTGCACAAACACACCTGGGGTCTGAGCCTCATCTCTCCTCAAGGTGTCTGGACCCACATGCTGTCTCTGGTGTGGAACCCTGTTAAACTCCACACATTAGAGCTAATGCCAGCCTCTTGACAGTTTCTTGGACCCTGATTGTCTCAGTCCACATGTTCTGGCTCCCTCCCGACCTGAAATCAGGCACACATTTGGTCAACAATGTGACAGGACCAAAGACAGAGCCCTGCAGCCTGCCCTTAGAGACCTCCCATGCCACACGGGAACCTATTAGCCGGAACTGTCCATGAAACCCAGCTGCTGGGAAGAACACTCCAGGCTTCCAAGCTGCCTGCTGGAGAGCCCTGCTACAGCAAGGGCTGGCGGCAAGTGGCACCACCACAGCAACCTCCTGAGCTGGCTGCATGTGGGGAGGGAGAGATGGGGAAACCCCCAGAAAGAGGGCCCCACGACAGCCTCCCCTACAGACCCCACACCCTCCATGGCTCACACCACCCCCACCCTGCCCTGCTGCCCAGAGTGGCATCTTACCTAGGGTTGGGTGGGTATCTGGGAAGTACAGCTGGGTGGGGCTTAGCCTGAGCTGGATTCAGTTGCCCTCTCCACCTGTGGGCACTGGAGCCTCAGGGCCTGTGGGCGCAGGAGGCTGTGGGGAGAAAGAGGAGATGGCTGTCAGCTAGAGCAGGGAAGCAGGTGGTCGGGATGCAGTGGGGGCCACACCTGCAAATGGGTCTGATCCTGCCTGGTTGAGCCATTAAAAACTCAAACATCCCCCACACACACTCTGACACACACACACTTGCACACACTCACACATGTTCTCTCGTTCACTGGCAAACTTATGCTTACACACATACACACACACAGAGCACTAGCTGGGGTAGGCAGGGCTCTGGGAAGGGCAGGGTTTGTGGCCCCAGCAGGCTGGAGTCTGACTATGCCTCTCCCACCAACTGGCTCTGTGGCCCTGGGAAAGCCACTTCCCTCATCCATAAAAGGGAGATATCATCTCTCCTGCCAGGACTGCTGGGAGGATATAGAGAGAGAAGGGACACATGGGCTGGTGCACAGTAGGTGTACAGCCAATGCCACTGCCTGCCTTCCTCCCCAGCCAGGACCCAGGAGGCAGGCCCCAGGCTGATCCCTGAGAGGGGACGACGGGCAGCACCAGAGTGCCTCTCCCTGGGCCTGAGCCTCAACTTCCAAGGCCCCAAGATCCCTACAACCCCCCACCTACTCACCCTCCCATCCCCCAACCTCTCCTGCCTTTCTTTTTTAAGGTACAGAGACAGAGTCTTGCTCTGCACCCAGGTTGGAGTGTAGTGGTGTCATCATAGTTCACTGCAGCCCAAACTCCTGGGCTCAAGCGATCCTCCCACCTCAGCCTCCCAAGGAGCTGGGACTACAGGTGTGTGTATCACCACGGCCAGCTAACTTTTTAATTTTTTTGTAAACTATGTTGCCCAGGTTGGTCTCAAACTCCTCGCCTCAAGCAGTCCTCCCACCTCAACCTCCCAAAGTGCTGGGATTATCCACGGAGTCATCATACCCAGGCATCCTGTTTTATTCCTTCATTATATATTCTCCAAGGGTTCCTCTAGACCAGACGCTCTGTCCTCTGTGAGTAGGGGAGGGTGCTAGGAAGTTCTGGCTCCTTGGAAAGGCTCTGAGGCCTCCATGGTGCAGGATATAAGCTCAGCTCAAGGTCCAAGGAGGCGAGTTAACTCCCAGCTCTCCCTCCTCCACGTGGCCCTGGGCAAAGCTTCTTCCTCTGTACCTCAGTTTCCTCAACCTCTCAGACCAAGTCCCAAATCTCTTTCTGAGCTGCTGCAGAGAGGTTTCAATCAGATCTGTGTTTCCCAAAGTAGGAGACACATGCTTCTGGGAGTGCACAAGGGGGTTTCGTGGTATGCAGACAAACGTTTTCATTTTCAGTTATGTGTTTCTCTATCTGTGTATTGGGAAAAAAAAAATGACAGGCACATCACAGGTGTGATTTCCTGGATGTGTACTTGGGCAGCATCATGGTAATCCACCTTCAAACATAAGTCAACATGAAGACAAGGATTAAGAAAACATGAGTGCAGGGGGTACCCAGGGGTGGTTTCAACCGTGATGGTGAAAGGGAAGCTCAAGAAGCTGACATCGAACCCAGCACCTGGCTCCCGGCAGCCCTTGAGAGGGCAAGCAGCTTCCACCTTCCCTGGAGGGCCAGGCCAGCCCCTCCTTTCTGCTCGATTTCCCATTGGGTGCTGTCCAGCAAAGGCCTAGGACCCCAAGGGCATTCACAAGGCCTTCCGGATGGAAGAGATGGAAGGATGGGTGGATGGGGCTCCAAGGTGACTGCTATAATGTGGGCAGAAGATGGAAAAGCCCTTAGGGTCCCTCCCGCAATCAACATTCTATCAAATCTATCAACATTCTATCAAATCCAGCAAATGCTGGAATTTCTAGCCACGTGGTAGGTGAAGATGTAGGAGATGCTTTGAGGCCAGGGTCTTCCTATATTATGGGCTGCAGACTTCTCCAAGGACACAGAGAAATGGGTGCTGAGCAGGCTCCAGGGCCCACTTTGGCTTTCCCATCCTGACAACAGAGCCATGAAGCAGTCCGGACCAGTGAAGAGAGGCCTGCCCAGCCCCACAGTTCACCAGTCCCAAATTATGGCCCTGCTGCCAGCCGGCCCTGGGTGCACCTCCCACTAGTTGCTGATCCTGGAGGACAGGAGAGAACATAGCGGTGCCAGCCTGGGACAGAGGGGTAGCAGAGACTGGGCAGCTCCTCAGGCCTGGGTACCCTAAGCCAGGTCTAGCCAGACAGAGGCGCTGTCAGTGGCCTCCCAAGCTGGATCCTGATAGACTGGCATGAGCCAGCCAGGCCCAGGCCAACCTGGGCAGCCCTGTCCCTGGAAGGCCTCCAGACCACCTGGCTGGTGACCCTGAACCCAGTTCCACCTGAGCTGGCAGGGTAAGCCATCCCCACAGTGCCATTCCGGGCCCCCAGCTGCTATACTCCAAGACAATGAATGGGCCTCCCACTCCCTTCCCCCAAAATCTTCCTAAAGCTCCCACTCTCCTCTGTGGCATCACAAGGAGTTGCTATGGAAATGGGACCATAGGCAGAGCATGACAATGATTTGGGGGCAGGGGAGGAGATGCAGTGGGAGCCGGGCACTCGCCTGGACACGAGGTCTGCTGGTGTGCCAGGTCCCCAAAAACATGAAACCCCAGCTGCAGGCCTCACAGCCAGGGAGAGTGCAAGGGGCTGCAGCCAAGGTTGGGGGCCTCCTACCTGCTCTTTTGGCTCCTTGCCACCTCAGTGGAGCCCAGGGAGCTCTCAGCCTGTGTAGCCTGTGTGTTTATCAGAGTGAACAAATGCCCCAGAAAATGTGAGACCTCCACAGAAACAGCTATCCAAGGACTCTGACAAAGTGGGTTCAGCACTGAGTGGGGCTGGCACGTGGTACACATTCAGCAAACACTGATCACACAGGGCCCTGGCATGTGTGTTGCGTGTGTATGTCATGTAGGCCTGTGCCTGCTCTGGCAACATGGAGCAAAATCACAGAGCTTGAGAGGCCCACGCCCACTGTACAGATGGGGAGACTGAGGTCCAACCAGGGTCAGGGTCACACAGAAAGTCAACCAAAAGTCAAGTCCAGAGCCCAGGTCTCCTCTTCCCCAGACCTGAGCCCTCTGATCAATACCCCTAGCTATTCCCTCATTAATTCATTCTACTTCTGTTAAGTATGTACCATGCGCTTGGTCAGTGGAACAGGACACTGCTCCTGCTCAGAGGAGACAGACCATCATGATCAGAGGGTGGGTGCCAGGCCAGAAGGCCAGAGACTGCAGGAGCCCAGGGAAGGGTCCCTCAGAGTTTTAGGTTATGCACTTCTGAGCCATGCTTCTAAGAGACCTCTGAGTTTCCCCAAGTTTTCTCCCAGCTGCTCCCCCAGCCCAAGGTCCCACTATAGTCTACTTGGGGCCCACAACTCCAGGATATAAAGGGGGATATTTCTCATTAGCAGCTCAGGCCCCAGGAATGAGGAACTATGAGGAAAGTGCCTTGCTACCCAGAAGTAACTCAAAGAATGTGGGCCCCAGACTTCCCTCCTCCTCCCCAGCCTCAGCAGCTCCCACATTGTTCATGAAGCCTTTGCCCTTTCTCTCTTTCTTTCCTGGGCACCTCCCATGAGCCAGGCATGACACTTGGCCTGAGGTGAGCAGAGAACCAGTGAGCCCCACTGGCCACCATCCTGACGGAACACAAGTCCCTATCTCTTTGTCAGCAACATGCAAGCTCTCTCCTGTGATTTTTGGTGTTTTGTTTTGTTTTGTGTTGTTGTTTTTTGGGATGGGGCTGTACTAAGAGAACAAGAGGTAACACCTTTCAGAGTTTGGCTGGGAAGACCCGCCAGTGCTGTAGGTTCCATGCTTTCCAGCAGCTATGACAGCCGCCCAGGACCTATGTTACACAGGTGGAAACCAAGGCCCTGAGAGGTGGCCAGGTGGACTCTGGGAAGCTCAGCCCTGTGAAGGCAGGATGGGGAAAGACCAGCAAGGACAGAAAGGAGGGCCAGGTCCAGGACTGTGGGAAGGGAGGAAGAAGCTGTCTTTGAGGCTTCCTGATGGAAGAGGGACTAGGATTGGCTCAGAGCCCGCCCTTCTCTAGAAGAGTCTCTTCTAGAGAAGAAACCAGGCCAGGGCCTCCCCTGCCAGCCCACATGACTTGGGCGAAGGGGCACATTCTGTGACAGCTGCCATCCCGTCCCCAACCCTCTATGGGCTGCCGCCACAGCCACCTCACACCCCTAGTTACTGCTGCCTGATAGGAAACCAGCTGGGGACGGGAAACCAGCAGAGACAGAGAAATGGGGGCAAATCATATGAGAGACAGAGGCTCTGAAAGAGAGTGGCAGCGACCCCAAAGCCAGCCAGAAAGAGGGAGAGCTGAGAGCTGAAGATGGATGGAGGACCCCTCCCCTCCCTCAGAGGCAGGCCTGCAGCTGCCAAGAGGAACAGACACACAGCTGGGAAGGAGCCTACAAACCAGAGCTTTGCAAAGTTTTTTCAGCAATAAAGTTCTTATTTGAAATGAAATCTGATGCAGTGGGAAGCGTTTCTATGCCAGACATTACATCCTGAAGCCATAAAGTGAAAATTCAACAAATCCAACTACTGTACATAAACGTGTAAAACATCTGTACGGCAAAAGACACATAAACAAAGTTAAAAGGCAAATGAGACACTGGAAGAAAATATCACTAATATGCAAAGAGCCCCTACAAATCAATAAGAAAAAAGACAAAAGAAGAGAGAAATTGGCAGTGAATTAGAAATCTGCAGAGGAGGAACTAAATTGGCCAATAAATGCACGAAAAGATGTCCTATCTCACTAGCAACCAGGGAAATGCAAATGAAAGCGACATGCTACCATTTTTTGCCTATTAGATCGGGAAAAATTTAAATGATTGATAACAAGCAGTGCTGGCAAGAATGTGGGAAAATGAGTACTCACAGACCATTGGAGGGAGGGGGAATTGGCTCAACCTTTGGAAGGGTAATTTGGCAATATTGATTAACATTTTAACCACACACTCCACAACCTAGTAATTCCACTTCTAGGAGCCTCTCCCATGATATA